TGCTCCCAGCTCCTAGAATAGTCCCTGGCTTGTAGTCAGCATTCAGTATTTGTGGAATGTTCAACACTAATATCAGCAAATGTAGACCTTAGCATTCACTGTCTCGTCTGAGTATTACAATAGTTTCTTTGTTATTGCTTCCATTTTTTAGATGGGGAAACCAGGACTCAGCGAGGCAAAGCAACTTCCTAAAATGGCAGAGAAGAGGGAATGATGCTTTGTCTTCTTGTTCCAAATTTGTGCTCTTTGCCCTTGATTATACTGCCAGATACTATTCTCTGATGACTTATACCAGGGCATGAATGAGGCCCACTACAATGTCCATCTTTTTAAAAATAACCCATTCCAGTGGGTCAGGGAGGATCTGGGAGCCAAGTGGTGCAGAATGTACATCAGCAGCCGCTTAATAGTTCAGCATTCTCATTCCTGCAGCAGTACAGCAATGGCCTAAGGCAGCAAAGAAGAGAAATACTTCACAAAAGAGAATTAAAGTGTCTATATTCCAGGAGAAACTAGAGACTAGTACCATCATGATGAGCTCAGACACAAAAAGGTTACAGGACAAGTTGCTCCAGGCCAAATTTATTCATAGACCTGGAAGAAACTTTAGTCATTCTTTATGAAATGAGGAAAGCCAGTGTCTTTATTTTTCAGAAGAGGAAACTGAGTTCTAGAGAGGGTAAGACACCTCCTGCCTAAGATCACACAAGTTTCTGCAAGAACTGGGATGAGTAAACACAGGATTCTAATCTCCTAGATTATGAAATGGCACAGGAACCCCTCTTAGGGGCCTGCCATCCCCACCTCCCTCTAAGCATGGAAATAGAAAGTTTGCATCCGTCCAAGGAAATTCTAGGCACCAAACTAGCCCTGCAAGCAGCAACTAGAGAAGTAAACGAACAACCCCCTGAACATGAAGATAAAAGCTTAAATTATAGTCACCCAAGCAAATTAAAGTCTCAGGGTGCTGGGTTCCCTATGGAAACTAAAAGATAACATCTTAATGTATGTTCTTGGGTTTTTTTTTTTTTCCTTTTGTTTTTAATTTACATTCCAGGGGACCATGAGCAGGATGTGCAGGCTTGTTACACAGGTAAATATGTACCATGGTGGTTTGCTGCACCTATCAATCCATCACCTTAGTATTAGGCCCAGCATGCATTAGCTATTTCTCCTGATGCTCTCCCTACACCACCCTCCCCAACAGGCCCGAGTGTGTGTTGTTCCCTTCCCTGTATCCATGTGTTCTCATTGTTTAATTCCTACTTAAGAGTGAAAACATGCAGTATTTGGTTTTCTGTTCTTGCATTAGCTTGCTGAAGATAATGACTTTCAGCTTCATCCATGTCCCTGCAAAAGACATGATCTTATTTGTTTTTATGGCTGATTAGTATTCCATAATGTATATGTACCACATTTTCTTTATCCAGTCGATCCTTGATGGGCATTTGGGTTGATTTCATGTCTTTGCCATTATGAATGGTGCTGCAATGGACATACATGTGCATATATCTTTATAACAGAATGATTTGGGTATATACCTAACAACGAGATTGGTAGGTCAAATGCTATTTCTAGTTCTAGATCTCTGAAGAATCACCACACTAATGAATTCTGGAATTCATTAGTTCCACAATGAGTGAACTAATTTAAACTCTCACCAACAGTGTAAAAGAATTCCTCTCCTTCCACAGCCTCACCAGCATCTGTTGTTTCTTGACTTTTTAATAACCGCCATTCTGACTTGCATGAGATGGTATCTCATTGTGGTTTTGATTTGCATTTCTCTAATGATCAGTGACGTTGAGGCTTTTTTTCATATATTTGTTGGCCTCTCAAAGGAAGACATTTTGAGAAGCGTCTATTCATGTCTTTGGCCCACTTTTTAATGATGTTGTTTGGTTTTTCCTTGCAAATTTGTTTAAGCTCCTTGCAGACTATGGATATTAGACTTTTGTCAGACAGATAGGTTGCAAAAGTTTTCTCCCATTCTGAAGATTCTCCATTTGCTCTGATGATAGTTTCTTCTGCTGTGCAGAAGCACTTTAGTTTAATTAGATCCCATTTGTCAATTTTGGCTTTAGTTGCAGTTGCTTTTGATGTTTTCATCATGAAATCTTGCCCATGCCTATGACCTGAATGGTATTGCCTACATTTTCTTCTAGTGTTTTTTTTATCGTTTTGGGTGTTACATTTAAGTCTTTAATCCATCTTGAGTTAATTTGTTTTTTAGAAACCAAGACCCTCTCCAGATGGAAACTGCTGACTGCTGTCACACTGACCTCAGACAAAAGGAAACTGAGGCCTGAATGGACTGCTATTGTTTGTTGTAAATTTCTTCACGAGGGGCCTGAAGAGATAGTCATGACTGCAGGCCATCAATCTTGCTAACCTGACCACTCTGACACAATACATTATGGCTGTGACCTCTCGCTTAGCACCCCATGATGGTTAATAGGTTTCCTTATCTTAACTAATATTGGTTAAAGCCAAACCTTAACATCCCTTTCTGCTGCCCCCATGTTTTTAGACAAAGCCTTCCTCCCTTAACCAACTGCAAATTAAAGAATCTCTGAATCCACCTATGACCTGTAAGCCTCTGGTTCAAGATATCCCAGCTTTTTGGGCCAAACCAATCCATAACCTCCATGAATTAATTATGATTTTGCCTGTAACTTCTGTTTTTCTGAGATGTACCCATGCCTTAAAAATCCTTGCTTGTAAGCCATTTGGGAGTCCAGCTCTTAAACAAGAACTGCCCATTCTCCTTGCTTGGTGCCCTGCAATAAACACATTCCTTTCTCTCACTGCAAACCTCAGTGTCAGTGTTTGGCTTTGCTGAGCTAAGTGAGCAAACCTAGGTTCAGTTCTGCAACAATTATGATATAATCATCATAATTAGAGTCATGATGAAGATGAAGATGTGTTGATGATGATGATGGTGGTGGTGGTGACATCTCTGCAATCCTATATTGAATGTTTCCTAAATGTCAAGTTCTATGTGATAATACATTTTATCTTATTAAATCATCTATTAGTTTCATTAATTCTATAAGCTTCAATTTAAAGTAAGTTGGGGAAAAAAACTTAAAGTCACATAGCTAGGGAGTACTGAAATCAACGTACTTTCCTATTCTGTATTAAACAATTCTGAGAGCAAGCAAAAAAAAAAAAAAAGGAATTATTTGCTTTAGAAAATCTTCTGGAAGACAATGAATTAACTAAATACTATATATTTTGAAACTATTAGCTTGCTTTTCTAGACTTTTTCAAAATCCTCACCTCACTTTATGCCACAAACTCTGCCCTTTCTTAACCAGTCCCCTACCTTACAAGGTCAGCCTAAAAATCACCCAGCACCAGTGCTAATGTACATTAAGTACCTTCCTATGATCTGTTTCTTTCAAGACAGGATGAAAGCTCTTTTAAGCTGGTGTCCTCCTTACTGCAGTAAGTTTGATAAACTGGCTTTACTTGGTCAGCAGATTACTCAGGTGGTTTTGCAAGGCACTGGCATAAGCACATGGGAGAACTGGAGCTCAAACTCAAGTGTGCTGAACTACAAAGTCCATGTGTTAATCATTACAGTACTATCCTCTTCTTCAAGAAAATGCTATCTCATAATCCAACTCAAATGCCATGTATTTTAGAAACTTTCCCAATTATCCAAGCCATATTCAAAGGCTCCTGCCTCATATTCCCCATAACTTCTGTTGGGAATAGCAAATACTTCAATATGTATACGCATACACTCACTGCCAATAGACTGTGCATCATGACAGCAAAAATCATGTCTTCTTTCATTCATTTTCTCAGCAAATATCTATGAGAACTTACTCCATGCCACGTTCTGAGAGAGGCATTTATTCAAGACTGTATTTCCATCATCTCAACACACAGAAGGCATTTTATCAATATTAATTTTAAAATAAATGGTATAATTGAATTGACAGATGGGGCTATAAAATCATCCTACTTTTTAGAAACAAGCTGAAGACATCCAGTCTTGAGCAGGCTTACCTTTCCTACCCTGAAAATTCTTGCAGACCCCAAGGGAAATGAAATGAAAGGAGAAACACATTATATTTTTCTCCTAACACAAGAGAGGAAGCTAATGGATCTGCACAGGAGTATAATAGAAAAATAGACTTTATTTCATTTCTTCCTATTAGGAAGAGGTTACAGCCCAAAAATTTGGGAGAAGAAATTCATATGAGCCTGATGACATTACTGAGTAGCACTTTACGGTGGCCTTGATAGTTGGATGTCTTATTTCTCTCTTCATTCAGAGACACTTGTAAAGTCAGTTACTGGGCTTTCAGTCTTAGCCCAAGCCTCCACCCTGCACTCGTCTACATAGACACAGGAAAATGAGGCAACCAAATGTCAGGCGAGCGCTTAAGTCATTGGTCTCTCCAATTCCTTCAAATGACTATAAAGGTAATTAGTAGGAAAAGACATCCAGTGCTAGAGACAGAATAATAGGACAGAATACTCTCAAGTTACCAAAGAGAACATTGCCAAAATTTTTATAGGTCTGTAGTTCTTCCTTTCTTGCTTCTGATATTCATGATCATAAATGAGGAGGCTAAACAAAAACCTCTCAAGATGAAAAATTTCAAAGAATATTGTCTCTATCCCCAATCTCTTAGAACACAGTGGCCAATGGTGCCGAAGATACTAGAAAAAGTGTTAGGCAGTGTCATCACCCTTACCCCAAATATATCTTCACACTAAAACCTCAAGTAGACAGGAACAAGTAGCTCAAAGCATCACCACCTCTTTCCCCCACTCAACAGGCCAGAGTAACCACCAACTGCCTTTCTTACACTATACCAGGATTGAGACAAGGTTATGTTTACTAGGCTAAGGGAAGAAGAATCTCATTGGGTATGAACAATGGAAACGCAAAGACGAATGTATTAGGGTTCTCTAGAGCGACAGAACTAATAGGATAGATGTATGTATACAGGGGAGTATATTAAGGAGTATTGACTCACACCATCAGAAGGTGAGGTCCCACAATAGGCTGTCTGCAAGCTGAGAAGCAAGGAAACCAGTCCAAGTGCTGAAGCTGAAGAACTTGGAGTCCAGTGTTCAAGGGCAGGAAGCATCTGGCATGGTAGAAAGATTTAGGCTAGCAGGCTAAGCCCGTCTTTTTACATTCTTCTCCGTGCTTTTATTTTGGCTGTGCTAGCATCTGATAAGATTGTGCCCACTGAGACTGAGGGTGGGTTTGCCTTTCCCAGTCCACTGATGGAAATGTTAATCTCCTTTGGCAACACCCTCACAGAAGCACCCAGGAACAATAAATACTTTGCATCCTTCAATCCAATCAAGTTGACACTCAATATTAGCCATCACAAAGAATAAATCTCAAAACAAAGAAATCACAAAAAAAACACACACAGCAAGAAACTCACCCAAAATTCAGTGGAAATAACAGGGATTTAAAGATCTGTACTGACTCCAGCTTCTGTTCGGGATGCAGTCCGCAGAAAAGGCATTGCATGTTCTGGCACAAGAAAAGACAGACTCAGGACCACTGGCAAATTCACAACTTTCTCCAACAGTTTAGAGGGCGAATTAATACAAAATTTAAGGAAAGACAGGCACTGCAAGGAGAGAAACGGCAGAACACTACCATTTGCTTACCTGGGACAGACATTTTCAGAAACAGGTAAGAATTATTTATCTAAAATACTTAACAAATTGGTAAAGGCTGAGTGTGGGCTAGTGAAAGAATGTAGATCCCCTGTGTAACCCCTAGGGGTAACAGATAGATATAAGGGGAATTTGCACCTATATGTAAGCTTTTCTCCTAGGGAAAAAAAAAGGCCAGGGTCTTGAGAAAGCACTCTTTGGAAGGAAGGAAACAGCAGCTCCAAGAGAAAGGCTAGAAGCCTCAACACCCTGCTCAGAACATTAATTTCTTGAAGGCATGAATAACCTGAAGGCAGTTGAAGCCTTCAAGTGGTGGGGCATGGTGAATAACACACACTGGCATCTGGGCGCATCATTACTTCTGTGGACCCTCGGCGCTTCTGCCTTTGTGGGGCTCTTCCTTCATAAAACATATATATCAAAAATTATATTTTACAGCTTTGTTGGTGTAAAGATGAATATAATTTGGACTGGATATGTTATCCTACATTTTTTATGTAGAATTTTTTTCTTATGATTGCATTTTTTCCTATGATTCTAAAATAAAGTTAAAATATTTAGGGGGAGTTCTAAAAGTACTATGTGCCCAAGACACTGTGCCCCACTACTAGGACTAATGAGGACATCTGCTCTGGTCATTGACTTTAGAGTACTGGGAAAATAGAGCAGAAAATAGTCCTCTGCTCTCCCAGGAGCAGCAGATCTACAGCTGGGGATGCAGCAGGAGCACTGAGAAAGCTACATCAGAGACCTGGGAACAGGTACCACCTGAGGCGGAGCCTTCACCAGAACCAAAGAACTCCCCACTCCAACACTACCAGGCTAACAATATGGCTAGCAACAGTGGCATGCAGGCAAGTGCATGGAACAAAACCTTCTCTGAGAGAAAAAGCAAAATGATAGGATAGAGAACAGATCAGTAGTTGGCAGGAGTTGGGAGTCAGGGGAGATACTGACCCCAAAAGAACAGCATGCGGGGGCTTCTTGTGAGTGGTGGAAACTGTTCCATATGTTGATTGTGGCTGTAAATACAGGATTCTATGAATTTATCAAAACTCAAACATTTTTTCCCCAAAAGAGTGAATTTTACTGCATATTAATAAATAGATTGAATATGCAAATAGAAAATTACCTGGTAATTTTATGTAAAAATTTCATCTAAAATTTTTTACATAAAATAGAACTTTGATCCAAAACTTGCAGCAACCTGCCCAGGAAACGAACCCCTTATCTACAATAAACAACTCATGGTGCCGACCTTGTATAAAGCAGGCTTGCAGAAAACCAGCTTGCTATGTCTTGCAACAATTCAGGAAGCTAAACAATAACTTTTGTGGTAGTCCAAAATGGCCAAGACTTGATTAAATTCTTGTCTCTATTTTCAACTTAGGACCAACCTGAGAAAGCCAAATAGGTACTTCTCACCAACCATGTAGGGTTCCCTGCTTCTAGTTAGCCTGCCTCCTGCTCCCTGATGCCAGCAGCCTCTGATCATGGCATGCCTGAAGCCTTCTTTTTCCACTTTAGCAAAGCTTTTCCCTCTCTCTGCCTGCCTTTGAGACTCTGTCCAATGGAGACGATGGTGACTGACTCCCTTGCTATAGCAAGCTCAGAATCAACAGACTTTGTTTTTCTCATTTGGTTGGTCTTTATTTATTTCTATAAAATTTTAAATAGCAATCACTAGAAATGCACTTGTACCTGTTTCCTAATTTACTGAGCTAAACTTAACATCCTAGCTCCTGCAGCACTTATGCATGCTGCCATTTCCACATGGCTGCCAATCAGGAAGAAAAAATGCTAACAGAAAAGATAAAGGCACCCCACCAATGAAATGTTTAAATAGATATTATTAATGTAAGCACTGTTTATGACTGAGACAAAGTGAGTTTAGGGGAGAATACAGAACTTTTAAATACTTTAAATACATTCTTATTGTATTGATTGTCCAAATTCCCCTGTGTTGCAATTCATTTACTGTTTGGATAAAGATATAAAGTAAAATTATTAATGTGCTTTTGCCATAAATAATTAACCTCATCATGGGAAAATGTTGGGAAGCTGGTTTTAAAAATGCTTCCGCTAATAGTAATTGATATTTATCTCTTCTGTCTTTTTAACTATTAAAGGCTGCTCATAACACTTATTACTGTCACTAGGAGAGAGAACACTTAATTCATCATAATTCCAGATGATTTATATGTAGATTGTGAAAGGGGCAGTTCTCCTCTTCTGCCATTCATAAAGTGGTAAGCTTCCAATGAATCACTCAGCAAAGATTTCCATTCAAGTGCTATCCTCTTATGTTATAGCTTAAAGGAATAGTTCCTCAGTACACTGATTATAAATCAAATCCCCATGTTTGTGATTGGACCCATGTGCTGTTCATCAAAAGATTTCAGACTCAAGTAAGTATCCTGCTCTCTACTAATTCCGTTCAGGAAGGCGAGCTTCCCAAGTCATCACTGGGATAACTGTATAGACAGAGTCACTTTCCTGATAGTAATCCACACTTTGCTGGCTCTCACCCTCACCTGTACAAACAGAATCTCAGTTACCTGTAAGGACTCACCATGGGAGTCTGGAGCCCTCACAGACTCTCTCACAAGTGCTCAAGGACCAAGCTCAGCTACTGTCACCATAAGGCAGCACTCTGTCCCCTCTCCTGATTCAGCCCTGTCCTCTGCCTAGGGAGACATTCAAGAGAATCTCTTCACTATCACTGCTGGTGAGACTCACCATTGGATAATAACACCCATACCAAGAACATTCCATCTAGCCAGGGCTCCCTAGGCCACCAATCCTCAAGGTAATAGGGGGCTTTCTCCACCTCAGGGCTTTTCTCCCTATTTTGATTCACATGAAGGTTGAATGCATCCCATACAAAATTTGTGTGTTGAAACTTGATGGCCAATGTGATAGCATTAAGATGTGGGGCCTTAGAGAGATGATCAGGCCAGGAGGACTTCTCCCTCTTGAATGGGATTTAAATCCTTATAAGGAAGGCTTCACAGAGCCCTTGGCCTTTTTTCCCCTTCTGGTTCTTCCACCATGTGAGGACACAGTGTTCCTCCCCTCCAGAGGACACAGCAACAAGGCACCCTCTTGGGAGGAGAGACTGGGCCCTCACCAGAAACCAAACCTACCAGCATCTTGATCTTGGACTTTCCAACCTCTAGAACTGTGAGAAATAAATTTCTGTGTTTTATAAACTACCTAGTCTACAGTATTTTGTTAAAGCAGCACAAACAGACTAAGATGCTGTGTCATCTGTTTAACACTTGATAAAACGGTAAGGAAGCCATCATTCAGGCCTATTGCAATAGGTGTCATGACTATCAGAAAAAAAGAGGGGCAGGTTCAACTCCAAATACAACAAAGACTAGTGGGGATATATAGCCATGGAGCAGAATGAGGGGCTGGTGAATGGAACATTATCAAGAGGAGACATAAAGGGTAGACAGATGCTTGCTAGACTGACTTACAGTATTCTTGTTGGAGACAGGCCAGGGTGATCAGATATCAAGGGTGGGGGATTCACACTGAGCTGACTTAGTATGATTCTTGCTACAACTGGAGTAGGCAGGCCAAAAACAGGTCCCAAGAATAAAAGAGGGCTCAGAAGATCCTGTTTACAGTTTGGTCAAGGACAGAGTTTTTGCTGCAGCCAAGCAGCAATTTGTCCCCCAGTTCTTATAAAGTCCCTCATGAAAACCAATTCTTTGATTCTCCTTAAAATTCTGTCTACTGGGTCAAATCCAGAACAAATAAGATGCTACACTTTTTATCCCCAAAACCCTCTCTCCAACCCAGGCCCTCAACAAACTTCTCTCTCCCTCTTTCAACCAAAACCAAAAACCTAAAGCAAAATGACTTCTCCAAGTCTGTCCAACAGTTCACCAGCCACATCTAAATCTCATCTGTGGCCCAAGAAAGGATACATGAGATAGATACATAGATGATTGATAGATAGATAGATAGATAGATAGATAGATAGATAGATAGATAGATACACACACACACACACACACACACACAGCCTTTAGTATTCAAAGCTAACTTCACCTCAAATACCTTTCCCAGTGCCAGTTAAATAGCCCCACCGCTTTCTAACTTATTCATAGTTTTGTTTGGAACGCGACTGAACATAAGGTGCTTCAGACAATCAGTGATAGCACAGCATGTTTTAGCTCTCTAGAGTGCTTCTTTTGTAGAATACAGCCTCACTTTTCACAGCCTAGCTATGTAATTTCTAATTCTCATGTCCTACTATTTTATAGCCTATTCACCTGAATCCTCTGATATAAGCCTCACCACTAACCTATAAAATAAGGCACAAGAAGTATTATTTCAAGCACACCTAAGGAAACTGAGGCTTAGAGAGGCTAAATAACTTGCCTAAGGCCACACAGCAAATCCTTGTCTGAGTCTGAACAGAATTAGACCTCATCTGTCCGCAGGGTACTTCCCTCTGTCTATTATAACTCATGAAATCTCTCTTGATGGGATTGCTGGAAGTTATGGTCCAAAGGGCATTAAAGTTTCCTATTCTGCAATTGCTCTGAGTCTTTATAGTCTCATTTCCTTTCCCTTGCCTCTCTCTCTCCTTTTTTTAAAATGGTATATTTAGATCTCCCATGCCAAAGAAAAGACATGAGATGAGGTTTCATTGAAGAAACTTAATTCTCAGCATTTCTAGCTAAAGCAGAAGTATGAAGGCAATCTTTCATGTAGCTTCTTGAGCAGTGTAAGTTCAAGAAATTGCCACTATTTTCTTATAGATGTAACATGCTTATTATCAAGCATCATGGCTTAAAAATAATCTACAGCATTCAATACAAATGATTTCTC